AGGACCGACGGGCAGCTGCTCCAGGAGGACGGCAGGGCCCGGGAGCTGCGGCTCGCCAGCACCAGCTTCGCGCTCACCGGCGACTCCGCGCACAACCAGGCCATGGTGCACTGGTCCGGCCACAACAGCAGCGTGAGTAGCCGCGGGGCTGGGGTGGGGGGGCAAAAAACCCCCACGCGCGCACCAAAAAAGTTTAAAAAAAAAAAAAAATCAGGGGACACGGGGGAGCTGCTTGTGCGCGCTCACGCACCTGGCTTCACCTTGACACGCTCCAGTGCAACGGGGAAGTGGTTCCACAAAAGAAAACCCCTCTGCTTTGCAGGCTGGGTGGATGAATTCATCCAACAGCCCCCCTGCTGCTGGGAAGAGGGGGGCAAAGGGTGATGTCCAAGAGCCAAAGAAACCCCCGTAAAAATCGATGACGGATCGAGCCTTTTCTCTGAAATCGGTAAATGCCAGGTTTCAAGAGGAGTCGGAAAGTTTGCGCGGCGGGGTATGTGCGAGGTGCTGCTGTATCAAGAGGTGGCGCCCTTGAAAAGTCTTTTCTGAGGCGCTACCCTGAGCCCGTCTGCTGGAGAGAGCCATGAAAGGGACATTGTTATGTTAGCAACTGTTACACACTCACTCACACCTCCTTTCATCATACACCCAGGACAGCTATAAAAGCAATCTCCGTTTGATTTTTAACTTGATATCAGACATGCTATTTCTAGTCAGGCATCATTTAAAGGACTGGGGAAACCCTCACGCCTGGGGACAATGTGGCCATTATTCTGATTACTCCAGATAGTCGCAGCCGGGGAAATGCCTCTTCGATTGTTTGGCTGGGATTGGAAATGTGCATAAAGCAATTAGATGTGGGATGCCTGGAGCTCAAAACGATATTCCTCCTGGGACTGGTGGGCCGTTTTGGGCCAAATTCTCTCTCTCTCTCTCTCTCTCTCTCTCTCTCTCTCTCTCTCTCTCTCTCTCTCTATATATATATCCCCTTAATCCCCTTTATCTATCCATCTATCCGTCCATCCATCCCAGATCGATAATGCACAAGTCAGCCATCGTTCTACGTTTTTCAGGATGGACGTTTCACCTGCGTGTCACAACAGCTCCGAATGCTGACAGCTGTCTAGGTCTTACCTTGCTTTAACGAGGTTTAAAACCTGTTCTATTTGCCAGACACGAATTCGACAAGCAGTCAAAGAGCAAGGAGTCGCATGATCTGTTTGGGCAACACATTGCCTCTATGATTTTTTTTTTTTTTTTTTTTTTTTTTTAAACTTATGAAGGCATCTATCAGCCTGATCTCTGGTTTTCATTTCGGCACTGAATCAAAGGCTGCTTGGGAAGGGAAGCAAAGCCCTAGCATGGATTTCCAATCGTTATCTCTGTTTTCTATTAAAGTAACACAGAGGGTTCATTCTCCAGGCAGTTTGAAAATAAAGGTTGGGGGGGTTTTTTTGTGGTTTTTTGTGCATTTCAAGGAGGGCTTTTTTCAGAATCTCTTTTTCTTAGCCTGTGCTGTGTAAAATAATTAGCTTTATTTATTTGGGTAACTTCAGATAACTGATAAGGCAAATAAATGAAGGGGTCTCAGGGTGCTCAGGGCTCCTTCAGAGTGCCGGGCATGGAGCAGCAAGGCTGAGTTTACTGAAGGCATGGATAACCGGGTGGTATCTGTGGGAATGGAAAGCAAGAGGGTTTATAAATAATAGCGTCCTTCCTCCATGATTTGTCGAATGGGAGGTTTGGCTGCTAGAGACTTTGATTCTTTTCTTTACTGTCCCTGGTGGAGAAGACGCACCGTAGTTGGATTAATTTTACATTTTGTTTTGTAAGCAGTGCTGCTTTATGCGAGTCTAGTGGGAAAGTTAAACGCTTCAGCTTGGGTGCTTTCATTATCCGTGCCAGGCTTTTTGCTGCAGTCTTGCTTTTACCCAGTTTTACAGCTGGGTTGTACCTGGCATGGCGAGGTCAAACAATTTGCCCAAGGTCACCCAGTGAAACAGTGGCATGGCTGAGATCCTGGCTATTGGCTGTGAGATCTCTGAGCACAAGGCCAGATTGCTGCCTAATCTAAACCAATGAAGCATATATTTTCTTAACTCACAGTTGACAAAACAGCAGGAAATGCAGTTGGAAATGCGTGGAGGATTGACTCGCGTCCCATCGTTATGTTTGATGCCTTGGAGGAGTGAGTAGGACTTAGCTGTATTTCAGTTCTCAGCCCACCAAAGAAATGAGCGGAGATATGCGATTTGCTTTTTCACCTTCCTTTGCATTTGGATAGATGCAAAGCCCGCTAACTCTCATGCCTGTGAGGTTTCCTCTTTACACTCTATCAGTAAAAGTCTGTTTAATAAAATGGGAAACAGGGATGGAGGGTTCGAAAACCAGGCTGATTTGCAAAGAGAAGAGAAAACACTGTAATCAAAGATCAGGATGGTGGCTGAGCCTAGAAACCTACACCCACTTTTCAGGAGAGAGAGAGAGACCCTCTGCATTATTACTCAGGATCGTTTAATCTGCTACACATCAAGTAAATAAATCACTAAGTAGCATTAGAAAAAAAAAATCATGCTTCCAGTATTAAAACTGTTCCTGTCTGCATTTTCAGGCAGGGAAGGGTGCAAAGGAAGTCAAAACAGACCTGGCTGTCAGGAGATCTGGGTGCTGATCTTGGTCCTGCCATAGGCTTCTTGTTTGACCTTATGCAAAACAATTAACTCCTTTATGCCTCATCTTCCATTAAAAAAAATGGGGATAATTCCACTTACTTACCACCAAGCGGTGTTGTGGAGCAGAATTTGTTTCTGTTTAGAAAACACAGTGAGATCCTCTTGTGGAATTTGCTGTGCAGAGTACGGAGGATTCATACAGGTGGGGTTTGCATATGTGCCTTATCCCTTAAAGATGGCTCGGCATCGTGCAAAGGACCTCATCGTGCAAAAAGGAGGATTTCACATTGACTGTGAGAGACCAGCACGTTAGGTTCACGTCCCGAATCATTTAGTAGATGCCACTGAGGCTGGAGAGAGAGTGGGGAGGGGGGCTATGGGAGGGACAAGAACGCTGGTTGGCCAGGCCTCCGGAAATTGGGGAGGCTTTTCACTATATAGAAAGGAGTGAAATTACTTTGGGAAAATCTGCAAGCTTTCCCTCTTAAAGCGATCCCATCTGGGACAGGTGGAGGATGCACAGCCGCTGCCGGGGCAGTACCGGGATCTTTAAACTCCCCCTGCTCTCACCTGACCACGACTTTTATTTGACTTTTTCTCACCTGCCTGAGAGCTGTCCCGGCTCTCTTCTCCTTCTGTCTCCTGTACCTGTTCTGTTGAGAGAGCCTGTTTTTTTTCCCTAGATTTTCTCACTCTTTCCTTTCAGTCGTTCTAGGATAAGGAGCAGGGGAGCATTTCTTAAAACCTTGAATGATTTAGAATTACACGAATAGTTTGTAAATGAATTCAGCTGGCCACACTGATAAGACATGCTGAACTGGATCTCTTTCCCCAGATGATCACAAGTGAAACAGCCACTGAGACTGCTATCAGTAGGCTTCAGAATTAGATAAAAATGCCAGTTTTTTTTTACCTCACAGCCAGTGTTTCATTCTGTCTACAAATACGTGAAAACTGTCCCGCCTCGGTGCGTTGTCTTCACAAATTGAAGGGTGGAAAGGGTTAAAATGTTGTGTCCAACTTTTCAGAAGACTGTCTGAATGCCAGCTATCCCCAGGGAGATGCGAGCTGCTTGCTATAGCGGGGAATATCTGCCCTGTGTATTTGGAGGAGGCACTGCTTGGGAGCTTAGCGCTATTGAAGGTGGTTGCAGTTAATCACAAAGTGCTTTTCCTGACTTATCTCCCAGGGTTATCAAGAGTTGTGTGCAAAGGTCCAGGGACACGGGAGAGCCGATTCCTTTCCTTCATGTGGATAGATAGGGACCAAGGAGTCTTCTCCTTTTTGGGCCTAATGAAGCCTAAGGCTCAATGATTTGGCAGAGGGCTCCAGCAAACAGCAAAGATGTGGAAGAGCTGCTGCTCGGGCACAATTTTTGCATGTGCCTTTGGCAGGGCTCTGATGAGCTCACCAAGTTGCCACCCTACAAATAGTTTGTCACTCCGGTATTACTCACCTTCACCATGGTGCCTTGTAAGCTGGGGAGCTTGATGGGTTGCAATATGTGCCAGGTGGTTTCTAACGAAGGAGTCTAACAAAATGCAGCATGTGCTGGGGAGAGCCAGGAGGGAAATATTTGTCATCCCAAATGGATAAAAGTGCACTGAGGGGGGCGGAAAAAAAAGATCATCAGGCAGGAAATGCAGTCTGTAATTAAGGGCCATGCTGCTGCTTAGAGTCCAGCCTCAAATATTTACTCCAAATGGCCATGATAGCAACAGAGTAATCCAACTAATTGCCCTGCGCTTGATGGGGATTTGAATTGCTGTTCTAAACAGTGGCTTTTTTGGCTAGATGGTGGTCTCATTACCACTGGAAGGCAGCCTCTTTGTCATAATCTTGTAATGTATTTCTTGTTTCACAAAGCTCAGCAATGAAGTGTGCCATCAAAGTAGCTCTCTAGGACTTTGCCAACCCCCCCCCCCCAAAAAAAAATACAACCCCCCCAAAACCTCTGTGTTGAATTAGTATTTCAAGGGAGATGGAAAAATAACAATGGATGTGGAAATTGGTTTGTACGGTTGTGTCATGCCAATAGTGAACGTAGCAGGAGCCTGGGAAATTTCCTTCTGGTTATTCATCTTCCTGATTTCACTGAAAAATTGAATCGATAACCCCCCAAAAAAGAAACTTTCAGGGCCTTGATGTTGCATTTCTTGTGTATTTCCCTGCGAATCCTTCAAAGGCAGCAGCTGCTCTGGAGCACAACCCAGCCTAGGGCAAACCACCGCCGTGCTGTTATTCAGCCCATGGGTTGAAAAATGAACCTGTCATCTTCGGTGCACTTGTTGCAGTCAGATCCACTTGTGACTGGAAACTCAGTGGGATTTCCTGGGACACAGGGAAGGCAGCGTGAGAGCCTGAGGGTGGCACTCAAAAGTCTGCTTGCGATGGCAAGGGAACCCGCCACTTGATTTTTAGGGAGAAGCTGCTTCTAGGTGGGGGGAAAAAAAGCCTTGG